CGTATAGGGTAATTTGTAAATACCACTATGCTGTGAGATTCGAAGTAATGTCGAAGTTTCCTCTTTGCATAAATTAACGCCAGGATTACCTTTTCCGTCTTGCTGTACCGTGTCTCGGCATCCGTCATCGTTTTGCTTGAGTAAAAGATTGGGTACTGAACCTTGCCTCCTTCTTTAATCAACACTGCACTTGTTGCTACAGCTGATACTGCCAAGTACAGGATGAGAGTGTCTCCGGGCGTTGGAGCAGAAAGGATTGGGGGTTTTGTCATGTAGCTTTTCAATTGATTGAGAGTTTCCTGCTGCTGAGGTCCCCACATATCTTTATTTTTGGATCGAATAGCATCAAAGAAAGGTTTATACTTATCAGATAATCGGGATATGAACCGGCTGAGAGCCGCAATTCGGCCGGTTAGAACTTGCATTTCTCTGCGGGTTTTTGACTCTTGGTTCTGTATGAGTGCCTTTGCCTGAGCTGGGCTTACTTCTATTCCTCTTTTATTTACGATGTGCCCGAGGAACTGTCCTGACGAGACGGCGAAGGAGCACTTGGTGGGGTTCAGCTTCATATTGTACCTCTTGAGAGTATCAAAGACCTCCTGGAGGTGCTTCAGGTGGTCCTCTTTCCGTATACTTTTGACCACCATATCATCGATATAGGCTTCAATTGTATTCCCCAGTAGATTATTAAAAATTTTATTGACAAGTCGCTAGTAGGTGGCTCCGGCATTCTTTAGACCGAAGGGCATCACTCTGTAGCAGTAAGTGCCCGTCTCTGTGATGAAAGCGGTTTTCTCCTCATCTTCAGGATTCATGGGAATCTGATTATAGCCGGAGTATGCATCGAGGAATGTGAGCCTCTCATAACTTGTCGTACTATCCACCATTTGATCAATCTTGGGCAGAGGGAAGTTATCTTTTGGGCAAGCTTTGTTAAGGTTGGTATAATTTACGCATACCCTTCATTTCCATTCTTCTTTTGAACGACTACTACATTTGAGAGCCATTGTGGGTATTGCACCTCTCGAATGAATCCTGCTTGTAATAGTTTATTTACTTCCTCGGCTATTATGCGATTCCGTTCAGGTGCGAACCGTCGGTGCCTCTGTTTGACTGGCCTAAATTCTAGGTTAACCCTCAAACTATGGCATGAGACCGTAGGATCGATCCCCACCATGTCCGAGTGATCCCAGGCAAAGACATCCGAATTGCACCGAATGACCCTGATCAATGCTTCCTTCTCTTCGGCTGTGCAAGATGAGCCAATGTAGGTGACCTTCTGAGGGTCTCCGAGGACTACCTCTATAGCTTCGAGGGACTCCTCGGTAGGTGCTTCAGCCTCGGCTTCTTCCTCTGCCTTAAGATACTTGGGCAGAGGATACTGTAACTGCTATTTGATTGCGTCTTTGGGATTCGCCTCTAACTGAGGTGATTTCGACGCCTTCTTTGCTTCATGTAGCGTTAGCATGTAACATTCTTTTGCAGCAACCTGGTCTCTCCAGAGGTCGATGACCTCCCTGCCATCTGGGGATAAACACCTCATTACTTGATGAAGGGTAGAGGGGACTCCGTTCATACGATGGATCCAACCTCTCCCTATAATGAGGTTATAAGATGGATGAATCTCCGTCATGACAAAGTTCTCCTTCAGAGTCCTCTTTGCTGCAGTAACGGATAGATCGATCACCCCAAGCGGATTCACCTTAGTACCATCAAATCCCATTAGGGGGCTGGAAGTTGGCCTGATGGACGATGGTGAAACCCCCAACTGATCAAAAGCTGCTTTTGTAATGATGTTAGCGCTACTTCTCGGATCTATCAGCACCCTCCTGATCATATAATTTGCTACTAGGAGGCTAATGACCAAGGGGTCCTCATGCGGGCGCTGGACTCTAGACAGATCATTGTTACCGAATCCAATGTTGATGCTGCCTGGTGCAACCGTGTTTACCGAAGACAATCTTCGTATCTTATGAGCCTCTCTCAGCCTGGATCTGTACAATTCTTCAGACTCTTCGTCATCCTCTGACCTTCCGTGTATGGCATGGATAACCTTTACCTGACCGCCCTTCACCCGTCGAAGGTTAACCTCCCGAGGTTTTACGTACTCCTTCGTGGCAAGATACTCCACCAACTCTCCTCTCGCTATCATGCTTTCTACCTGTTGCTGAAGGGACCTGCAGTCATTGGTGGTATGTCCATAGTCTCTATGGTAGGCACAATGTTTGCTTTTGTCCCTCTGCTCCAAGGGTTGTTTCATGGGCTGAGGAGTTGCGAACCTCGTCTTATTTTCTTGGAATAGGCGCGCTAAGGTAGTACGGAGGGGGGTAAGCCTGTCCTCTGTCCTTCGCCTCTTCTCAGGCGCTTGGGTGACTTGTGTGGCGGTATGAGGAACCTTCTGCATCCTTGTGCTTGCAGCTTTCTCTCGAGATTTGTTTTCCACTGTGACGAGAGTAGCGTGCTGTGCACGGTGGGCTACGTTTTCCTCCAACCGAATGTAGATTTGTGCCTTAGCGTTCAAAGTCTGCATATCCGGGGGGGAATATTTGATCAAGGATGTATGAAACTTGGTTCCCTGGATCATTGCCAACTTAAATGTTTCGATTGCCGTGGCAGGGTGGCAATCTGCTATCTCCGAGGCTTCCATGTTAAACCTGGATGAGAAATCTTGCAGAGTTTCTCCCTTCCTTTGCCTTATGGTGAAAAGGCTGGCGATACTTTTCTTCTGCTTCTTATTTCCGCAATACTGGGCTAAGAACATAGTGCACAAGGTCTCATAATCAGGGATAGACTTGTGTGGCCTATTCCTGAACCATTCTAACGCTGCTCCGGTTAAACTGGTAGGAAAAACCTTACACATCCACGGATCGTTATGATCGTCCAGTACCATCTTTTGCGCATAATGATTGAGATGCCGAGAGGGGTCTCCTGCCCCATCGAACTGGGTGAAGGATGGCATAGTGAACTTCTTTGGTCTCTCCACAAGGTACACATCGTCAGTAAAGGGGGTCTTGACCAAGGAGTTCTTGTGCTCTTTAGCCATCTCGGCTGGTGTCTAAACTCTTAATAGCTTCTTTTCGTCGAAGGCATCTTGTACGCGTGCGCCATCTGGAATGCCATTGGACCATACCGTAAGCCTATGGCTAGACTCGGCCTGTTCGTCCTGTGTGCGGCACGGGAGATTATCCGAAGCAATCGCCTCGGACCTTGTCCCTTGCTTTTACTGAACCTCATTAGGTCGAGCCCCGTTGGGTGGTGTCCCGTTGGCCGGAGGCTCGTGAACTGGAGGTAAATTCTGGGTGGGAGGTGGTGCTGCAGCATCGCCTAGTGGTAGTTGTGGCGTTAGCCTGGCCATTGCCGTGTGCAGCGTATGAGTCTGCTGCTGAAGCGCAGCTATCTGGGCGACACTCGTATCGTTTGCTTGCCGGAGTGTCTCAAATTGGTGCAAGAACTCCTCTCGCATCTTTTGCATCAATTCTATCTGTTGATTCATTGCTGACTCTCCGTTTGACATTCCAGATACGACTAAGGATTTGATTTGAAGAACAAGTGGGATTATATTTTTATACGATTCCCACAGACGGCGCCAAAGTGTAGGTGTAAAATTTCGCTCAACCAATAATGATTGAGAAAAATAAAACAACTCACTCAAAAAACAATAAGAATAAATAAAAACAATGTATAGAGAAGCGTAGAATTGCTTGATCCCTTTATTGGAGGTCTAAGCCTCTATTTATATACAAAAGATTGTAAAATTATGGTAGGACTCGCGTTGCTTGCCCTCCAATTCTTTCTATATAAACATTCTTTACTAATAGAGTTCTTTCCATTGTCTAATTTTCCATACATAGAACTTGCCTTGTACAGAACTTCCTATCTCAGAATTTTCCTTCTACGGTAAATCCTTCAACTGGTAGGACGTGTGCATTCTTGAATAACTGGGCTGAACATACTTTGATCCGGCTGAGCTTGAGTAACGGACCGGATGTTAAATATTAACAAGTTGGGCTGATGACCTCTTGATTCAGCCTTGATGGAGGTTGGAGGACAAATAACAATGGTCTTGGGCTATAAATACCCTCAATTTGGGCTTGAGCATGATGGACCTTATATGTCATTGGAATGTAGATATGTGTAGTGATGACGTGTGCGTTTTTTATTGGAGGAAGTTTTTTTCCCTCCACAATAGTTATTAAGGTATATTTTGTATGTCGCATGATCAATTTACTGGTGAGATATTACCGGCCGATCGCCGGATGGAATCATTTGCAACAAAATTGTATAGTTTAGAGGGTTTTTTTTACGGTTTTTGTAGTTCAGGGGGTTTGTTACTGATTGGCCAATAGTTTAGGAATTTTTTTTTTTTGCATTTAACCTTAAAAATACAAGTAACAATTTATTTGTATTAAAAAAAATTGAATGATTAAAATTCAGATCATCCAATTCGATCCGTGTTGAAATATGGATCCGTGTTGAAATATGGTAATGTGTGCAATAATGTATCAAATATTGAATATGTTTCCGATCATATCTTCCTAACACCTCACATTAGCAGAAAAATAATTAAACTATCAACTTTTTGTCTGTATTGATCATTTTTTAATATCGAAAGTGTAGAAAGAAGTATACCCAAAAAAACATTTGATAAGAATACCTTCTTACCGAAAAAAAAATATTGAAACAAAAAAAGGTTACAAGGATGCAGAGGCTGAGTCTTCCGGGTATCATCGATGAAGTTTCATCTAAACCTTTTTAAGATCACACAAGAGGCCCGTTTTCACTTGCTCTTCCCAAATCCCAAGACAACGGTGGATCAAACTCCATAAGCAATACACTAGCAAAGCCAACGAAACTTCATATGGGGATTTATATAGTTTCATTGCATCTTCCCCTCTTTTTCCTTGTTGCATCTCTCTCTCCCTATAGTCTTTGGGCATGGTGTCTATATAAATAGAGTGAGTCTCCAAGACGAGAAAGGCCAAATTCACTTATTTCTATTTCCAACCATGTTTTCCCTGTCAGAAATGTCCTCAGCCATGTCCAATCTGTTATCGGCCTGCGCCTCATTGGCTGGTTCGCTGGTGCTGATTCGTACCTTGGCCAAAGAAATCCCGGACCCTGTTTGGTCTTACCTCGATTCAGGCATTCGCTACCTCTTCACACCAAACTCAAATCAACAAACCATCGTCATCGACCAGCATTGCTGCGGATTCTCCTTCTCCCCCAACCAAATCTATGATGCCGCCGAGATATACCTCCGCGACAAGATCAGCCCCTCCACCAAACGATTCAAAGTCACCCAGCCACCCAAACAGAAGAATCTCAACGTCGCTATCGAAAAGTCACAAGAATTGTTCGACAAGTACGAAAACATCAATCTCAAATGGAGATTGGTCACGGTCGACTCCCAATCCCAATTACTCGTTGGTCAACCCGCTGTTGAAAAGCGATCCTTGGAGCTCCGTTTCCACAAGAAGTTCAAAGATAGAGTACTCGACGACTACTTGCCTTCCGTTTTGAAAAAAAGCAAGGAAATCAAGGACGGGAATAAGGTAGTGAAACTTTATACCCCGAGCGGCGGTCAAGTTCCTGGTCTCGGAGGAGGAGCTTGGGGATCGATCATTCTGGACCATCCGGCGACGTTCGATACGTTGGCAATGGAACAGGAGATGAAGAAAATGATAGTAGATGATTTGGACAGGTTCGTGAAGAGGGAAAAGTATTATAAGAAGGCAGGGAGGGCATGGAAGAGAGGGTACTTGTTGTACGGACCGCCGGGTACAGGAAAGTCGAGCTTGATTGCGGCTATGGCGAACCATCTCAAGTTTGATGTGTATGATTTGGATCTGACGATTCTGCGCTCCAATTCCACACTGAAGAGCATGCTGATGTCGACGACCAACCGGTCCATAATTGTGATTGAGGATATAGATTGCAATGTGGAGATGCAAGATCGCAAGATTCCCCGGTATGGGATGGATCCTGTTGACAAAGAGGTTGGTTGAAACATATATACTGCACTCAATACTTTTCATAATATTTTCTCCAACTTGTTGCTCCATGTGTGTTATTCCTGCAGTTGACACTGTCAGGTTTATTAAACTTAATAGATGGGCTGTTGTCCAGCTGCGGCGAAGAGCGGATCATTGTGTTCACCACCAACCACAAGGACGTGCTCGACCCTGCTCTATTGCGGCCTGGTCGCATGGATATGCACATTGAGATGTCATATTGTACTTTTCAAGGATTTAAGCAATTGGCCTCCAATTACCTTGACATCAAAGGTGATCACGGGCTCTTTGGCGAGATAGAGGGCCTCATAGAGAATGTAAAGGTCACCCCAGCTGAAGTTGCTGGAGAACTAATGAAGATTGAGGATCCCAATAATGCTCTTGATGGAGTTGTCAAATTCCTCAAGCGTAAGCATATGGAAGTCATGGAAAGCAAAATCAGTAATGTTGAAGCTCCTGAAGCAAAAAGGATGAAAGTTGATGGGAGTGAAAAGAAATCGCCGACAACAGGCAGAAAAAGGGGCGTTAAAGTCAGAAGTCGCAAGCGGTGAACTAAAAAATATATATGTATTTGTTAGTATTGCTTGGTAGAATAATTAAAATTCGAATCATAAAGTGTTGAAGTCTGGGTTTGAGTTTGTGCGGTTTCTTTAAGCCTTTTATAAAGAGTGAATTACTGAATTGTATTGTATAAGTAGGAAGGGACCTGGGCAGCGGCACGCATGTATCTGTGTTTAAATGTTTTTTTGATTGGTAGAATAATAAAATTGCATTTTACGATATTTTTGTGTTTGTGGGATAGGCAATATCAGATGAAGTAGAAGATGGGAAGAATGAAATTGATCCAATATTAACTTATTGTTGGAAACGGGGTATACAAAATAAAAACTTTGGATGAAATTTGGAATAGATTTCGCTAAGAATTTTTTGCGGATCTATAGACCAGCGCGTTACTCTTCACAAGGAGATGAACGTGGTATATTTACTTTCTCAAATCCGTTTCTGGGTGAATGAGAAATTAGATTCAAAGTGAGGTGTTTGAAAAACCTAAATGGAAAAAATGTTGAAACCAATTGAAGTTTAAATAAGTCAAGCTTGGGCTTGGATTTGGGCTTGGGCTTTGGCCTAATCGTAAAGTCCGAATTATTCCTTTTATTAAATAGAATTTTAGATTGGGCCTATTTTTGGGTTGGGCTTATTTAAATGGGTTTCACAAATGGGTGGGTTTTTTGGGTGGTTGGTTTTTTGAATTAAAAAAAAACTACTTTTTAGTTTTTATAAAGAGTTACAACTTTTAAATTAAAAAAAATAATTTTTTAGTTTTTCTAAAGGGTTACAGCTTTTAAATTAAAAAAACCACTTTTTAGTTTTTTCAAAGGGTTACACCTTTTTCCGAACTATCATAACCCGTGGTTGCACCCACCCGAAAAAGTACCTTACTACCTATAAATACCCCCCTTTGGATCATTTGCAAATTACACCAAATTCAGAAAATTCTTCTTCTTCCTTCTCTCTTTAGTCTGTGGGTTCGAGCCTTAGTATTTGGGTTCGAGCCTTAGTCAGTCACTCCGAGTCCGAGTTCGAGTCAGAGAGTACTACACCGAGCCGGTTCGCCTATTCCTTTGGTTTGCAGTGCTACTACCGAAGGAAGACAAGTCGTTGTATCCTGGGAGATAAACGCCACTGAGTCCGTAAGCACCATAACGGGGCGAATCTGCCTTAAGGACATAGAATCAAATTCTAACTTCGACTTTTAATCAGGTTCCTTTATTTATAATTTTTATTTTATTTTATTAAACTATACATTATAAGTAATTATATATATAGATTATTATTTTATAATATTTATATATATAAGCATTATATTATTTTATATTTACAGATAATATTTAAATAAATAATACTATAGTATATGGTATACTCAAATCGTATTTTTGGACAACAATCTTAAGACAGATTCATAGTATACTATAATTTAATTATTTAAATATTGTTGTATTTTATTTCTGTAAATTTGACTGTGATCTGTATATTTAATTTTAATCAGACAAATGGCAAGTATGAGTACTACTATGCCTAATGTTCTCGTCAGTCATGGGGAGAAGCCCGAAAAATTCAATGGGGCGGAGTTTAAAAGGTGGCAACAAAAAATGATGTTCTACCTTACAACTCTGAATCTAAGCAAGTATCTAACTGAGACTGTGTGATACCCCTCGGATCCGAGACACGGGTTGATCAGGCCCAGGCCCGAGCCCGAGAGAATATCAAACAATTAAAGTATTTATAATGAACACGGAATACAAAATGAATTAAGAAATGAAATTAAAGCTGAAAAGAACTAAAAACAGAATTTGCAAAATATTATAATTATCAAAATCCATCAAACCTAAACTCCATCAGTTTACAACTCGGGAATCCATCCATTGGACCCCTTATTTAAATTCTCCAAACGATACTGAAATAATAAAAACAAAATCCAAAGCTAACATAGAGAAAATTCCTACATAATCGGAGGAGTGAATAGCTGTATCTGCTCTGCACGTCCAAATTCTAACCCTGGAACTGACGAGCACCTGAAAAATAAAGAAGTGGGTCAGGCCCACATGCAAGTCCTGATCTACTACAATCCAAACAGTAATCCGATACGCAGATACATCCTAGGAAGACTCAACAATATCTAGAGTAGTCAATATATGTCTATAGTACACACTATAGGACGCTCGCTAGTCCAGTAGGTTTGTCTCAGCCTGAATAGAAGGCAACATGCGAATACGCACCCTAGGGTGGGCATGAGTACCTAGACCTACCAGGGAACAACACCTATGTCCAGTTATCCATCCTAGGCGATATACGCGCCCTAACCATGGTCCTGAGACTCAAGCTCATACCATGGCACATATAATAAATATATAAAGTCCATACTCCTCCTAATACATAGTACCATCCATCTGTGTGGTGGTCTGGTATATGTATATCCATCCGTCCTAAAACCATATTAAGTCATTAAACTATTTTGTTGACATGACACAAGTAGGTGATGAACTTAACTTATAGGGTTAATCCATACCTTAATCTAAAGTAGATAGGATTTAGTGTTTGACTAATCCATACCTAGTATGTCACCGTCCCATACCGGTACATACAATCCTCCAATTAACGAAGTTGACAAAAACAAAAATAAGTATTTATCAACCATGCTCCAGAATTAGCACAAATATAGTTTAACATGTATATAACCAACTTATGCATTCAATATAAGATTTAGAATCCCAATTACAGTCCGTTAAATTGATAGAGTAGAATTACACAATCTACCTCTCCAAACAGTACCATAACTGATGCAATGTAAAATAGATTTTAACACCAGTTGATCCCAACTAAGCATACATATAACTATACAACAGTATACTTATAACACAGCTACAAAACATGATTTATAAATCCAAGTCATGCAGAGAAATAAAATTCCAAAAATAGTAGACAATAGAAATTAATTTTCAAATCATCCACCCACGGGTTCACTGTTTAATCTTAGATTAATTCCATTCTTAGTTCCTATTTGTAATCATACTTCCCAACAGTTTTACAAGTCTTAAACATTAAATTACAACATCCAGTAGCCTTTAAATAATTTTAGAAAATCCAATTTTAGCCAAAAAGTCCCTAAAACTCAGTTCTGTGCGTTTTAAAATGGAGCAAGCTCTTTAAAAACTTTGAGCCTGCTCAAAACCATTTGGAGCCTGCTTTAGAAAACTTTTAGAGCTTGCTCTAAATCATTTAGAGCCGGCTCCAACTCTTTGGGAGCCGGCTCTAAGGGTTTTGGGAGCCTGCTCTCCCTCCCTTAGCAGCCGTTGTCCGTTCCAGTTTCGTTTTCTCTGATTCCGGTGATTACCAGAGCCTCTGTAACATGTTTTAATTTTTATTCTAGGTTCAATCCCAGTCCTAGGTACATATTTGAACCACTGATATTCAATGATAGCATGCATGGAACATAGGTTTAGAAGCAACGATCACAGAACCTTAGTCTGAAATTTTAAGCAACTCACAACAGATTAATTTGGTGACATTCAATACTGTGTTAATTACTTATACAAGGGTTCATTTAATGTCTCAGACTAATTCTCAAGCATAAATATATATTCACAACAAGAATTTAACACAAGATTCAAAAACAATCCGCAGCAAAATCAAGTAGCAGGAAAATCAACAATCTTTGCAAAGCAGTTAATTCACGAGAGTAAATGAAATTCATACATGCATATAAAACTTGTTATAAAGTTTATTTAAGTCCATTTTATCCTTGTTTTAATCCCTGGAGTCTTAACTAAGTATGCACAGAACACAGATTAAAGGGATAGAGTGGAACATAGACTTGCCCTTGAATTTCAGATTTGAAATTCTAATTCACCGTCTCTGTGTGATATGCTTGTATCCTACACTGTAGTTCCCCACTACCACGCTCCTTCCTCCTTGAGTTGCTTTGCTAATCACTCAAGTTCACTTCGTGTTTCCCTTAAATCTTTCTCTCTGTAACGTACGCAAACTCCCTCTCTGTTACTCTGTACCCATATATTTATAGAGTTATACCAAAACCCTAAATTAATTAAAGCCCTAACTAAATCCTAACCGGCCCATAGAAGTTAATTAAAACCTGTGTCGGCTAATACGTGAATATACAGAAAACACAATCCTACTTTAAACCAATTTAATTAAATAAACCCCATTATCAATTAAGTCAAATAAAACATCATAAAACAATTTAATTTAAAACAATGTAATAAAAGAAAACCAAACAATTGAATCAATTAAAATAAAACATCATAAAACAATTTAATTTAAAACAATGTAATAAAAGAAAAAAAAAACAAATTTAAATAACCATGGAAGAAACACACAATTAAAATAATTTAAATAAAAGATTAAACAATTAAATAAATGCCAGGACTATCCTTTAAAAATTAGGGGTATTACAGACTGCCCCAGTGTTAGATGAGGGTGAGACTGACATTACCAAGCTAGGAGCTGTTGATACATGGAAGCATGGAGACTTCCTATGCAAGAACTACATCCTCAATGGATTGGACAACACTTTATATGTGATACCCCTCGGATCCGACACACGGGTTGATCAGGCCCAGGCCCAAACCCGAAGGAATTTCAAACAATTAATATTTTATAATGAACACGGAATACAAAATAAACTAAGAAATGAAAATTAAAGCTGGAAGGAACTAAAAATAGAATCCGCAAAATATTATAATTATTAAAATCCATCAAACCCAAACTCCAAAACTCCATCAGTTTACAACTTGGGAATCCATCTCTAGTGGACCCCTATTAAACATCCAAACGGAAGATAGAACAACTGTAATAAACATCCAGAAATAAAACTATAGAGAGAGCCCTACATCGTCGGAAGAGTGAATAGAGACCTCTGCTCAGCACGAACACATCTAAGCCTGCAACTGTCGTGTACCTGAAAAATAGAAGTAGGTCAGGCCCACGCGCAAGTTCTATACTACTACAATCCAAACAGATGCCCGATACGCATGTACATCCTAAACAATTCAACAATAGCTAATAGTCTGTAAATATATATATAGTCACACTAAAGGACTCCCACTGGACTACAGGCCGGTCTCAACTTGAATAGAGGTAACATGCTAAAACGCACACGAAGTGGGCATATGTACCTATACCTAAATAGGGTACACCTCTAACCATCATAGCGAGCTACACATCCCGATGCATATACGCTCCCTAACCATCGGTCCTGAGGCTCAAGCTCATACCGAGGCACCATAACAGTACATATATAAAATCCATCCAAAATCCCTGGTATTGCCGCTCAA